TGCAAAGAAATTTATAAACCGTATCGGAACTTACACTCATAAGTTAAAATGTGACGACTCGTTTTGACACCCTCAGAGAGTGGTAATAGTGCTACCCTTAATTGTTTTGGATGAATTTATTGATGCTATTTGCTTCTGCACGCCTATAAACTCGTACATACTTTTTAACGTGTCTGTACGCGTTCATTTTTCAGAGTGGAAAATGAGCTAATTGAAAATAATTAAAAATCAGCCTGAAAATAGTGTCATCTATATAACACACATTTTTTTTTACAAAATACACTGACGTGACAACCAAAAACAATATATATTATAAATTTGCCTAATGTCCGCTACCGATTTATAAAACAAAAAGTGGTCAATTACTACTGAAGATTTCTGAGAAAAAATTCTTTTTTTCTACAGGGCTTTTCCAAACGGCTATATTAGTAAAATGATCGCTCCCTCCAGCCCCCAAATTGAAACTTATTCAAACTTTCCCAGAATGTTCTCCCATATGTCCTCTCTCACCATAGTTAGCGCAAAATAGCGCAAATGCTCCTGGACTGAGTTATATAGGTTTTCCAGAAAATCGTGGGTTTTTGACATAATTTCAAGTTTTCTCTTTTAGGAAGCATGTATATTGAAAAATAAAGACATATTCGGGATCAGCGCAAAAATCTACATCGAATGGTATATAATTCACCATAAACGTTTTTTTGTAGAAAAATGCTTTGTCAAAGAAGCATTATCATTATCGCAGCAAATTTTGTATGGGTATTTGGATATTCATTTTAGCAGTGGGGCAAAAGTTGATAAACACGTTTTTTTATAGGTTTTCGAATATGCTCTTTCCAATGGTGAGATTTTCGACATCCAAAAATATTTTTGGTTTTTTTTTCTGGAGATCCGGTCTTCCGAAAACCCAGAAACAACTATTTTTGGATGTCGAAGATCTCACCATTGGAAAGAGCATGTTCGAAAACCTATACTAAAAGGTGTTTATCGACTTTCGTCCCACTTCTACAGCATATGTCCACATGCCTAGTCAAAATTGTCCACTGTGAGACGACGCCTTTTGATAGGTAATAGAAATACATACTTTGAGGAAAAAACATTGCACTGACGAGAACCTTTCGAGGTGGTTAAAAGCTTTTTGGTCGACATCTAGTGGGTTATAGGTTATCGACCATGCTGATTCCGAATATGATCATGGGACTTGCCCATAGCTCTTCGAAGATCCAGTCTTCTGGAAAACCAGTTTTTCAGAAATCCCAGAAAATAACCCAAACCTTTCTTAATAATGCAGGATTGTAGCGCGCAAATTTCTGATTAAAATGAGCCATCTTTCAGCTCTACACGACCTTTCTTTGCAAAGTTATAGCATTTATAAGAAAAGCCCTAAATTAATTTTTTCTTTCTTATTTCTGTAGCTTTGAGCTGACAATGAACAATTTCAGAGTCTTCTTATAAATTCTATAACTTTGCAAAGAAAGGTCGTGTAGAATTGGGGGATGTATTATTTTAATCAGAAATTTGCGCGCTACAATCCTGCGTTATTAAGAAAGGCTTGGGTTATTTTTTGGGATTTCTGAAAAGCTGATTTTCCAGAAGATTGGATCTTCGAAGAGCTATGGGCAAGTCCCATGATCATATTCGGAATCAGCATGGTCGATAACCTATAATCCACTAGATGTTGATCAAAAAGCTTTTAATCACCTCGAAAGGTTCCCTCGTGAGATGTTACGCCTTATGTTATCAAGCGTATATCTCTATAAAAGCGGCCCAAAAATCAGCTTCACCATCTCCATTCCCCCTCTCTTGATTGCCACCTAATGTTTTATTTGATCGGATTGGGAGTTTTACTGCGGTTACATAAAAGGTATCTCAAAAGACTACTTTTTCAAACTTTTGTTCAAAGGTCCTAGACCTAAAGACAGAGAAGTCTAAAGGCTTCAGGAAAAACGTCCGAAGCGCTCGAACAAAGCTAAACCAAACTTTTGCTTAGATCTGATTTTGTAGAGGACACTTCGATACATGGAAAAAAATCGATAGATTTCCTACATTAGTATCCATAGATTCAAGCTAGTTTTTCAGAGAGCTTCCGAAAACCCAGAGTTCGCCATTTTTTCAAAATCAGTTTTTACTTGCGGAAAGATAGCTTCAGGTGTCCTCTTTTGATTAGTAATTAGTGAAAACTCGAGTAGTTCCCCATTGAGTGATGGATTATACCAATGTTGTTGTAGGTGGTAGCCAGATCGGGATGATTAGGAGGGAGAGACTTCTCTTGGATTTCAAGTGACTTTTGATAGACCGAGAGTGCACTCGAGTAGTTTCCCATTGAGTAATGGACGACACCGATGCAGATGTAGGTGGTAGCCAGATCGGGATGATTAGGAGGGAGAGACTTCTCTTGGATTTCAAGTGACTTTTGATAGGCCGAGAGTGCACTCGAGTAGTTCCCCATTGATTGATGGATTGTACCAATGTTGTTGTAGGTGCGAGCCAGATGAGGATGATTAGGAGGGAGAGACTTCTCTTGGATTTCAAGTGACTTTTGATAGACCGAGAGTGCACTCGAGTAGTTCCCCATTGATTGATGGATTGTACCAATGTTGTTGTAGGTGCGAGCCAGATGAGGATGATTAGGAGGGAGAGACTTCTCTTGGATTTCAAGTGACTTTTGATAGACCGAGAGTGCACTCGAGTAGTTCCCCATTGATTGATGAACGGCACCGATGCAGATGTAGGTGGTAGCCAGATCGGGATGATTAGGAGGGAGAGACTTCTCTTGGATTTCAAGTGACTTTTGATAGGCCGAGAGTGCACTCGAGTAGTTTCCCATTAATTGATGGATTGTACCCATGTTGTTGTAGGAGGTATAGAGAAGAGAATGATTGGGGAGGAGAGATTTCTCTAAGACTTCAAGTGACTTTTGTAAAAGCAAGAACGCACTCGAGTAATCACCCTTTGCTCTGTTAATTGCTACAAGCTGACCGTAAATAATGGCAACCATCTCAAAATGATTGTCAGGTGTCGAAGCGAGCAGTGTCTTGCATACTTTTTCAGCATGATCGAACTTGCCTATTTTAAGCAAGAAGTTGCCTAGGCGGTACCACCCTGTTCCTCCTCCGATTTCTTTCTCTCGTATGTAGTCGGTGAGACGAGTGAGCTGTTGATCATTCTTCCCAGTCAATGTCAACTCCACTTTCCAGAGTCGATTCTCGATCTGTACCATCTCGCCGATTCGAAAGACGGTGTGCATTGAGAAGAGAATTTCATTCTCTTGATCTGAGAAGTAACTGATCTCTGTCAACGAAGCAAAGGGAGTCGAGGCGAGTTTGGGCTCGACATTCATTTGAAAGAGAATACCAGTTAGATTAGGATCATCCTTTGCACTCTGCGCGAACGCAAACGAGACTGCAAGATCTTCACTTGTAGACAGAAAATTGTTGAAGGACAATAGGCCACCTTTGTTCTTTCTCATTTTCTCAAAGTCGCAATTCAACATGCCCTGGCCTCGATAGATGGTCATTGATCCTCTATTGTCCATTGATTCCGCATGAACAAGTGTGATTTGTTTATGGAGATCTCGCATGAAAAACCCCATCTTGATGATAATCTCAATGTCTTGTGTTCTCAGAGCTCGATTGATCAGCGAATAGATGAACCACTCTTTTGTATACCACCAGATTGGCGAATGAAGATTGTACTCTCGGTCGAATTGATCAATCACTCGCAACTGGCTATCATTTCCAGAATATTGGATCCGACAGAATTCGACGAGTTCTCTCTTCGCCTTATCATCATCTTGTTCGAGCTCGAGAAGGATCTCTTTGAGCAATTGTGAATACATAAACGATTGATCGAGTCGATCCAAGTCAGGATTGGAAACGTTCGTCGACGGAAGAATGCTGATCGAGGTTAAATCCTTGTCACACTGCTGAGTGTCTCGTTTGAGTGAGTTACACAGAGGTTCAATCTGGGTAAAGACTCCCTTCACTTTGCTCCACTCCTTTGCCCAAAGCTCATGCTTCTCCTGTCCACAAAGACATAGATGGAGTGAAGCTGATCAATTTGTTGAATGAAGGGCACAATCTGTTGACCAAAATGCCCCGACACAATCATGAAGACTTTTTCGTCTTTGATCTCGGTAAGAAAGTCGACACAAGTGTCAACGTCAGTGAATATCTTGATGGAATTGACGATACGTCGAAGATGATTGATTGAATTTCGATAGTCTGCATACGATTCGTTGATGTTTGCATCTAGCCAAATGAGGATGAAGTTTTCGATGATGCGTAGACGCGACTGATGTGTCGAGTTGGTGATCATCTGGATATCGTGTCCAGCTAGCAAAAAGATAAATAGTAAAGTACATTTTAGCAAAGAAAAAATAGGAAAAAGATAGCAAAAGTACATTTGAGCGGAAAACATTTCAGCACAGCTCACTTAGCTCACAAACATTTACGCCGTAGAAAAGACAGTTGGATCGTTAGCTTATTACATTTTTTCAACGAGTTCACATCGCCTGTGTTGTTTCTGTTCAAGCGTCTGTGAACAGTAAACTAAAATGTTCATGCATGAGTGCTCGGCTCGTCTCCTATAAGCTGTGTCATTATTTTATTCAGAATCTATGATTCTTCTCTTCTTCGGCGTCGTGGTGATCATGGGTCAATGGTGCTTCTTAAGCGAGGAGCCCCTTTTGGCGTCTTTACTCATTCCAAATTCAAACACAAAAAAATACATCTTGTAGCCTTGATGAGTCCTACTAGACTACATATTCAGATTAGCAAAGCAAGTATCTCATTGACGTTGAGGGTCGACATGAGGAGTAGATTGCATGATCTAGTAGAGCTATGTGATGGAATGTCCGGTAAAGTTTCCCATAAGCAGTACTTATCAAATTCCGATTCCGTCGACATTCATGTCCCTCAACAACTTTCTCGAAGCGTCTCTCGACAACTCTTTACTCAATGTCTGACACGGTTTTCCGTTTCCACCACAAACTGCTATATAAAATGCAGGAGATAGTGTCGAGACAAGCTGTTGCCTATCCTGTAGCTACTGCTAAACACATGGAGAGAGTTGTTGAGGGAGCTGTTAAGAGAGTTTTCTCGACGGCTCTCCCGAAAGAGCTGTAAACTTGCCTTCAAGAGAGTTGTGCAGAGAGTTTTCTAGAGAGTTATCGGGTGAGTTCCCAAGAGAGTCCGCTCGACAACTCTCTCGACACTTCTTTAGAAAACTTTCTCCTCTATGCGTTTGCAGCTCTCTCGAAACAGTCGTCGAAAGAGTTTTCGAGAGAATTATCTTTATAGAAACCTGCAGAAAACGGATAGCACTTTTGATGAATTATTCACTGGACGATTCTGTTCATAGCTTGAAGAGACTCTTTTTTATTTTCCATCCTACATTCTTCTAGAAACTTGTTGAGAGAGTCGGTTCGAGACTAGGAAACGGACACAATTATAATAAAAATTCTTTGCGCAACTCTGTAAACTTCTTCAGCGGCTGTCTTCGTTTTCACATTACATTTGTTCTAGAAACGTGTCAAGACAACTGCTTCGACACATAGCATAACAAGTCGATTGCATCAACTGATACCGAATGTGAAATTATATTCATGTAAACATTCGGTTGGCTTAGCCATATTATTTAAGATTTATGAAATACGTGATAAAACTCGTTGGGAACTTTTAGGTAAACGACGAGGAAAAGGTAGATCAAAAAAGGTTTGATCTGCTTTGATGTTATAAAGCGGTTGTTGTTTATATCGAATTGTTGTTCATTGTATTCATTATGTTGCATGTGATGAATTACCACCATCTTTAAGATTCATTTGGCGTCTAATTGTTCTTGTTCCTTGTGAAAATATATCTTGTTTTTTGGTGCTCATTTGTCTTATAACTAATTTGGTGCTCAAAAGTCTTCTTTTCGGTGTTCAAAGTAAATACTGTCCAAACAAAGAGCATATAAAAACACAGTTAGCAACACCGTCATAGACCGAAGATGTTTTTTTTGTCTTCCATTACAATCTTAAAAAGTACATCTTTAAATGTGAAACCTTATTTTCAATACGACTGAAATTTATTTGTATTTTATAGATGTTAATTGATGCTTTCTGAACACTCAACAATGACAACATCTTCTATTCTAAATCAGCAACAATGGATTTTGAATGAAAAATTTATCAAATTACGTGCCAATTCAATATTGGTTAATGTTGGAATGCATAATGATTCTCTTGGACCAGGTATTTTTTTTCTTTATAGAATGATAAGTGTTAACATCCCATATCTAAAACCATGCAAGTAACGTTGAATTTTAGTGACTCTGCAATATTTTGCTAAATTTAAACAAAATAACCCTTTGTAATCTTAAGTTTTGGAGAATAGTCACCACTTGTTTCATAAAGATCTTACATCTCTTTCAATGACGTATATTAATTTCTATCTTTCGCAGATTATCATTCAAACTTCGAAGATATGTCAACATTTTTCAAGTTATTTTACAATATGAACATTAGTGCTTCAGTTTTACAATTAGTGTGTGATTTTTTCGAGACAAATTTGCCGGGATTTAAAATTTCCGACAACTTGAACCAGCAAATCAGTCTTACCATTTGGATATACATTTTTGTTAACTGGACGTCGAAACATAAGATCTTTTTTGATTATAGGATCGGATTTTCACAAATCTCGTCTCAAAACAACGCCTGTACTACGAACATCGATTCAATTTCAAATATCGCCAGCATATTCAAATACCAACGACAATCGACGATTCATATTAGTGGATAAAACAAGAAGCAATGAACGTATATTGATATTTGCAACGGACGAACAATTACAATTATTATTCAATTCGACGTAGATATTCATGGATGGTACATTTGGTTCGTGTTCGCCATTTTTTGATCAGTTGTATGTTATTCATGGTATAGAATTTGGTAGACAATTTTCATGTGTATTTGCATTATTACCACGTCGCAAAAGGAATACCTATGTAAAGTTATTTCGATATATTAAAGATAATGCAATTCGTTTGAATACAGTATTTAATCCAACCAGAATAATGTCTGATTTTGAAAGTGGTTTAAAAGCAGCAATAGTTGCTGAGGTTAGTGTCTTTGCCATCTATTGACCAATTTAATATAAGGAGATAATGTTTCTTTTTTATATTTTATAAAGTATTTTCTTTTTTAGTTTCCAAATGCACAACACAATGGTTGTTTATTTCATTTTAAGCAAGCCGTTTATCGTCGTATTCAAAATTTGGGTCTATCAACATCATATAATTCAATGATACAATTTGTTCATATTGTAGTCGAATAATGGCATTACCATTTTTACCAATTAATGTTGTTGTTAATACATTTAATGAATTACAAGATGAAACACCATTAGCTATACGGAAGAACTTACAACCATTATATGATTATTTTGATAATTATTGGTTAAATACAATCGATTTAGAAAAATGGAATGTGTATGGACTTGAACATCGAACAAATAATATATGTGAAGGTTGGCATAATCGATTTGGTCAACGTGTACAAAAACATCATCCTCATATTTGGCATTTTACAGATGTGTTAAAAAAGAAGAATTTAAATTTAGACATGATAGAATACAATTATTAGCTGGTGCACAAATGAAAAATTCTCGACATAAGACAACAGCTGTTCAAAAAAGAATAACAACATTAACACATCATTATGAAGCACAACAACTCAATGAAATGGAATTTTTGCAAGCTATATCATTTGCCTTTAGTAAATCAAAGAATGGATGATACAGAACAATACGAAAATTGTCCTTTCTGTTTTTCTTTTTTGCTCATATTTTTGCTCAAAATAAATATTTGCACAAAGCAATTTTGCTCATTTTCTAGTTGCTCAAAATAGATTTGCTCATCTTCCATTTGCTCAAAGTCCTTTTGCTTAACTAATTTTTGCTCAAAATAAATTTGCTCAACATTTTTTTGCTCATTTTCTTTTGCTAAAAGTCGCTTTGCTCATATTCGAGGTTACCATTCGACTAATCAGAGTTAAATATGAATCTTACATTTTGTAATATTTATGATGTTATCCTTAACTATCTCTTTCTAGTTTTTTCTTTTATGGCACATGTCTTTGTTCTTTTGGATATATATATATATAAGAAATCATACATTTTTATACTGTGTGTTAGACTGTTTTTAGAATACAGAGTTAGTAAGTCGACGGACCAGTTAGTGGTCTCCTTACTTCTTGATATTCTTGTACATATATTTTTCATCGTTATTTTAAATATACTACATATATGATGGTTAGATAGGACATAGTTAGGAGTGAATACTCTAAGTTGTTTTTGGCGGCGTGACATTTTTGACACACTAATTTTCACTTTTTCGAAAAACTGTAGTAGCCGGAGAGTTGATTCTACCATCATTTTATAGAGGGTAGAATCCTGCATCTATGCTGTAAAAATGAGGAAAATCCATTCACATATGCGAACTGGCGAATCGTTTTTGGAGCGTAATGCCGTGTCAAAAAACAATCATAAATTTTGAGATACGAAGATAAATAACTCATTTCCTACACATTTTCGAAGCAAAGAAAAAGTTGTTAAGACGGCGTTGTAGGACTGACGGGCTACATATTGGAAAAAAAATTTCCCAAAATGAGCTCTAATCAGGTGGAAAAAGCCTTAAAAGTAAAGTAATGCCGTGACATTTTTGGTAAGGGCGTGAGGCATTTTTTTTTATGATAAAAATGAATTGGAATTTCATCGACACAGTAATTTTGTTTTTGATAATCTCTGATGACACAGTAGATTTCCATCACTTTTGAATTCACCACAATGTTCACGTCTCCCTTCAATCGGCGTTCGCTGCGGCATTATCTGAAATATGTTGAAAATTTTTCTCTGATTTGTTGTGTGAGGTTCGTAATCCAATGTAAATCTAACAGGTTTTCTCCTTATGATTGGCTTATCCATGGAATATCTGACAGCCATTTTTCCGTATTTTGTGCATAGACACACAGACAACCATTTTGTAAGACACCAGACTAAAGTGAAGGGGAAAAGTTGTTATTTGTAGAAAGATGTAGTTGAAAGATAAGAAGCAGTAAATCGTATGGAGAAGGTTGTAGTAATTTAGCAGGGTAATTAGCGATTCTTCTTTCTGCTTATTGTGATTATTCCATTATTCTCTTTCAACAATCAATGAATAAAGTTTAGCATTTCTTCTCGTTTCAGTGAAGTTCCGTATTCTTTGCTGTGTCTTTTATGTTTCAAAGAGCGCGTATATTTCATATAAAAACGCATTTTAACATGTCTTTTGTAAACGAGCATACAAAAAGAAAAAAATTCGAAGTTATATTGTTTGAAAGTCGTTAGAAACCGCGTTGTCGAAGAACGCGTTATTCCGAAGTTTTGAAGGACAATAAATGCGTTTAAACGATTCTTTTAACGATCCCTTAGAATGAAATCTTTTTCTATCAAAAAATCAATTTTGGAGACAAACAGATGGAGAGATAGCCTGGAGTGTCTCCTTTCAGAAGCTATATCGCTTTCGGGTCTAGCACTTATTCAACCCAATACCAAACGAAGAAAAGTTCGAGGACTATTATCCATTTCAAAAAAGAAAAAGGATGGCCATTTCTTGAATAACTTTTGATTAGTATGCGATGAACACAAACGGTTGGTACCGTTAGAAAGTTTAGAGCTTCTGCTATCCAATCGTATATTTGGTCGATTTTCCGTGTTTTTCCATAGGTGTTTCCGTTCTTACTTTTCATTGCGAAGTCACTAAATGGGGTCAGGAAACATTGAAATCGAATTTTGACAGCACCATTAGATTCGTCATGAAAAGATCTTCAAAATGAGTGATCACCCGAATTTTTCACACCGACCTTTCCTATACCCACAGGGGCCTCAGGGGGCAGGATAATGAGAAAAAACGGCCCCTTGTTTCGCATTTTTTTCAATCGGGAGAGATGTTTTCTGTAGGTTTTTGACTATCATTCGACGTGTCTGGGAAAGCTCTGTTAATAGGACACTTAACGAAGTTTGGCAGCTCGATAAGACAAATCCGAATATATAAGTTAAAATCAAAAACAAAATCTGTTCGACGTTTGAATTAACGGCACCTTATAATTATTCATTTTTATCGTATAAAAGATCAAATCAAAGTATGGAATCATGCTCAAACTAACAACGGATTGTACCAAAACTTCTGATAGTTATATGCCAGAATACTGACAATATTTCAGCATATAGCTATCAGAAGTTTTGGCTAAAAAGTGGGTAGAAAAACTGACAATATTATATTGAAAATTTTTATCTGATAAAGAAATACCGCCAGATAACGGCTGATGCAAAAGTGGTTGAACAAATCTCAAATCATATTTTACCACATTTCCGGTACGGTAGATACTAAAATGTTTGCTGAGTGTAGGAAAATCGGGAACGGAAAACATTTTCACTTTCTTAAGCAAAATCAGTGTTCTTCATTATTTGTTCTTATCACCATATAGACATTTATTCTAAAACATGATACAAACCAGAGCTGATTTGCTTGGGAAAAGTGAAAATGTTTTCCGTTCCCGATTTTCCTACACTCAGCGTCCTGGTGCTTATTTCATGGTAAAATATGACACAGATAGATAACAGTTTCATTTTATTCTTGTTTATGTAACATTATACTGATTTGAAATAAAGTAAAGTAGTTTTAAGATAGTACAGTAGTTATAACAGCTCAGGCTCAGTACGGGTTTCAAAAGTTCATTTGTAAAAGCGTTCTTAAATCGTTAAACAGAGAGTGCCACAAGTCTCAGCGTGGTCGATAACCCCTGTCTAGAGTCATTTGTGAGGTTCCCATGGGTGAGAAAAGACCAGTGCTTGGACCCCCAGGAAATTCGATGCCAGGACTAAGCGATCGAAGATGAGAGTCTCACTTGACTGCCATTTTGAAGAGGACACTTTGGACTATCTATCCATGAAAAAGCATCAAACCATTTGTATTTCAAGTTTTTGAGCAATAACCTGGTTTTCAAAAGATTTCCTGAAAAATCTGCTTTAGGGAAGATTTTGAAAATGATTTTCAGTGTGAAAAGATGCAGTTAGGTCCTAGCTTTCGATTAGTGAAGACCGCAAGCATCTGCCACTTTTCTGTCAAACGTTATTCAAAAAGCATCTGAGTCCATTCCTTTTTTTACCAACGATAGATGGTACTTAGCGAGGTCAAAGTAATTGACTGAAATTTACTCTGCAACGGAAAAAGTCAATGTCAGCCATGTGGTCCTCGGCCACAGGTAGTCGAAACTGTAGTTCATGCGGTAATTTTAATTTGTTTTTAAAACTATGAAATCGTGTCTGTGATCGAAGGTCATAGGGAAGTTCGTTCCAAAGCTTAGTGGTTCTGTGAATAAATGACACTTGTAAGACTTTGATATCACCGAGATGCACTAGTAATTTACCGTTGTTTTGACTACGTAAAGATAGATACAGGTATTCGCTGGTGTCAATAGGTCATTCAAATCATATATTTTGTTCACAATTTTAAAGAAAAAACAAAGACGATGAATGTCAAATAAACCAAACTGAGTTATTTTACCACTGACTATTGTACTCAAGAGTGGAATCCATCCTAGTTCACTAATTACCTTTTGGCGCGAACAACTTGACATAGCTCCTGTGACAGCAACGGACGTGTGGTATTGCAGAGTAACTAGACGCTTCAAATTTTTTTCATTTGTTGAGGAATATATAACGCTAGCATAGTTAATACAACTCAAAATATATGCATTGTAAGCCAGACGGAGAGCGAGACGAGATAGAATCCTGCTCAAAAATTTCAAACAGCTAACTGTCTTACCACATTTAGAAACCAGTGTGTTAATATGTAGAGCCCAATCAAGATTTTTAGTAAGATATAAACCAAGATGGATATGTTCGTTTACAAAATCTAATGAAATATTATTGATCTGTAAAGGTGGCAAGACAGCGAGCATTGTTGATCGATGAAAAATCATTCCAAAACATTTTACTTCGTAAACTCTGTATCTCATGATGATATATATACCTTACAACTAATAATAACTAATGATAAGTCATGACGATATAGGTGCTTTAGATTTCAAGGACATAGCTTGATAATGACTTTTATTTTTTAGCTGAGACAACTATTCCGTAAGCTCTGTAAACCACCATTAACTCCTAGCACTTTATGGTTCGATTTGTTATAACGGCTTCATATGTGACACAAATACAGAAATGAATTCTATACCCAAAGCTGAGCAAGAAACCTTGTTTTGCTTTGTTATCGAGGCGGTGTAGTCCAAAAAGTGAAAAAACACTAGGTGGTGTCTAAAACCATGTCCCAACAAGATTCATCAGCTAGGTCATAAGGAAACAAAACATTACGGATCTGACTAAAAGCGTCAAAGAAGTGTCCCTTTAAAGTGTTAGGATGAGGGAAAGTTATACATTGGAAATTCTAATTTTCCGTTTAAATTAAGTGCCCCTTTAAATTTCTAAATTTCTGATAACCTAAGCCTCAAAATGTCGAAATTTTTAGATTTCTGAATTGCTAACTGTCTAAATGTCGAAATTTCCCAATTTCTAACTTTCCAAATGTGTAAATTTCCGAAATGGTAATCTAAATTACCGAACTTTCAAAACGTCGAAATTTCTAAATTTCCGAACTTCTAACTCTATAAATGTTGAAATTTCTATATTTCTGAATTCCAAAGCCTCTAAATTTAGAAATATCTAAATTTCTGAACTCCTAACTATCTAAATGTCTAAACTCCTGAATTCTGGAACCTACAATTGTCGAAATTTCTAAATTTCCGAACTCGTACAACAAATGTCGTAATTTCTAAATGTGTGAATTCCTAACTCTCTGAATGTGGAAATTTCTAAACTTCTGAATGTCTAACTCTCCGAATGTCCAAGTTCCCGAATTCCTAACTGTCTACATGTCTGAATTTCTGAATTCCTAACTATATAAATGTCTCAAACCTGAATTTCTGAACTCCTAGCTTTACAAATGTCTAAAATTCCACTCTAAATCTCGAAATTCCTAAATTTTGTCTCCTCACTTCTGTCAACAAGAATGGGTTCGAAATGCCTAACCTCTAAATTCCTAACTTTCTAAATGTCTGAATTTCGGAACTACTGACTTTATAAATGTCGACATTTCTAACTGTCTAAATGGCTAAATTTCTAAATTTCCGTACTCCTAACTCTCTAAATGTCGACATTTCCAAACTTCTGAATCCCTAACTTTCTAAATGTGTAAATTTCCGACATCCTAACCTTCTAAATCTCTGAATTCGTTGCTGCCTACATGTAGATACTTACATATAGATTAGAATGACTATCTAAAGCAATATTGTATGGATTATATAACTGATTTTGTTTAGAACCTCGTCCGTGACCACCAGCTATTGTTACACCATTCGGTTTCCATTTAGCTTTTGGACAGATTGATGTTAGAAAATATAAATTTGTTTTGATTCTAACTTGCTTTTTTGTTTTAAAAATCGAATTCACTTACATGTTGTTGTTGGTAATGCTGGACATATTTGCGGATTAGCTAAAGCAATTGGATAATAAATTGGTTGATTACTACGTCGACTATGACTAATACGTATTGGATGTCATCCAAACATGCTAACTTATCTGATGGACATGGTTTTAATATTAAACAGTTCATTCTTGTACTAGCACACATACCACCACTAGATGTTAAGTCTATATAATCACAATCAAAATTAATTGAGCATTTTGACTGGCTGTTACATGATGATGATGGATTACTTTGTGACACTTTAGATAACTGACCTTCTAAAAATGAAAATAACACATGTTTGCGAAATGTGATTTATTAATGAGAATTTGTGGACAAATTACTCTACCAGATGCTGCTAATGGAGATAATTGTTGATCGACAACCAATATTCTATTCATCATGGTATTAATCGCACATTTATATTTGTGATATACAGGGTGGCCCAAAAGTGGCTTTAGTAGACACACATTATTCTGTACATTTTTATTTTTATTGAGCATGCTTTAATACCAAAATATTTCCCGTTGAATTCTGTACAAAAAAATGTATGAATTGTTTTATCGCAAAATCCGAAGGTGCAAAATGCCATAAGAAATTGTCCGAAGTACCAAAATGTAGAAAAAATAAATGTAGTTAACTTTTTTTTTGTTTAGTATTATCTGTTAAAAGTTTGTGAGAGAGGAAAGTTGAAGTAGCCAATGTGTACCCCTCGAAAAGCTGTATTTTCCATCTATAATTTAAACAATGTTCAGTTAAAATTGAGGGCGCAAGGATTTCAGTTTTTTTGCCAATTCTTCAAAAAATGACGATTTTTTACCAATAATTTGAACCTTCTAATAAAACAAATAAAGATTAGTCATACTTGATCGATTCAGGTTGATTTTCTTAACTTTGAAAATAAGTTATTAGTCGTTATGATCGGATCTCTAAGATTTGGAAAAAAAATTTGTTTTGGTCCACCGCGCAAAGAAAAGGGAATAACTTTTGCTATTTTCAATTGATTACTCAGAAATTAATCTTTGCTTCGGATATTTAGATTTAAATGATTTTCGCTCCACACAACGAGAAAGAGTATATTTGAAACTACACAAAACTATACTGAAACTATATTTTAATGCTTGTGAAACCATTCGAAAAAATTTCGCTCTCTTTGAAGAACCACGTTTATTTTTTCTACATTTTGGTATTTCTTACAATTTCTTATGGCATTTTGCACCTTCTGATTTGCAATAAAATAGTTCATACATCTTTTGTAGAGATAACGTTCGATTTTACACTGTAATTTTATATATAGTTTCCAACAAAAGGATTATATATTTTTCTACTATCAGTCAAATGATGACGATGATCTTAGATTTCTCTGTGACACTTAGTTTTAAACTTGCGAAGAAAAAAAGCTTAGATACCTTTTTTCAAAATATTATAGAATAACAGCTACCCATTATAAAATAGAGTAAACTCGAATGTTTCTTGATTATCTTTCGAAGGAGAAGCATTTGAGACCAATGGTTTTCCGTTTCTGGAAGAAGACACCATGGTACGTGGCTTCATGGAACTATCAGGTTTAAACGTCATGTCTACCTCGGTGTACCAGCAGTGCTAATGCACCGGTATCGGTATCCATACCGAAATACGGATACCGGAAACACCGACTTTTTTGGATTTTTCCATCTGAAATGAGGTAGTTTAGCGTCATAGACAGCCAGAACACAAAAAACACTGAGCAGTCTACTCTGAGCATGTGTAGATAGAAAATAAAAGAAAAATTCTGCCTTTGAAAGCAAATAAAGCTCTTGTTTTGCATCCTTGATTCTTTCTGGGTGTCCAGAATGCTAAACTATCTCATTTCAGATGGAAAATTAAAAAAAAATTCCAGATCGAAAAAAGTCGGTATTTTCGGTATCGTTATTTCGGTATTCGGTATACTGATACCGGTGCAAACCTAACCAGCAGCAGAAAACAACTCAGCTTGTCCTTTCCAAACAAAGACATACTGAAATACGCTCGATACGAAAATTACCTCAGATGTATAGTGACAGTTGCGTTTCGAACTGGTAAGTGCCAGATCTGCAAACCATGTGGTGCATGTTGTTCCGAAATCTGGTGAAATCCTATATTCAGTCAAATATCCCATTTTTGTCTATTTTAGTGTAAAATTGGAAAATTCATAGTTCAGTCAAAAGCGACTCAGACTATGTCAGAATATCAAGATGTACTCTGTTTTATCTGCTCAATCGGATTTTGTACTTAAGATTAATAGAAAATATTCTCTGACCACGGAAAATTTCTAGAAAACCGTTTCAAAATTCCAAATAATCTCTGTTGAGTTTTACGATGTTTATGGTGCAGGGTTTTTTCTGGTACTGATATACCGAGGTAGACATGACGTTTAAACCTTATATTTCCGTGAAGTCACGTGCCATGGTGTCTTCTTACAGAAACGGAAAACTGCAGATCTCTAGCACCTTCGTCTCAGAAGTGAGATGCCTTCAAAGAAAGAAATGAGTAGTATGAATTTAATTAGTTTTTTCAAACTATTACCGCTTTGTGTGTCTTTTTCTACCCCCCCTCCCCAGAAGACCACTTGGTCTTCTATTTTGTCCCGCAAGACGAGTTCTAAACGGTTGTCTTCTATTGCGGTCAAATTTTGTCGCCTGTTAGTAGTTCAACGGTAACTTCCACACACTTGAAGTCCATTCCCTGTTAGAAGTACATTTTCGCGAAATTTTTTTGAAAACTCCCCTATATAGGTACAGGGCATTTTCCGATTTCTTTCGCGGACATAACAGAAGACCATGGTCTTCTATTTGGCTTTCAAGTCATATAACCGGCAGTGGTCTTCTAATAGGGGATGGTATTCTAGTATGGGGGGCAGGGGGCTTACAGTAAGTTATTTTACCAGTTATTGTCAATAACTGGTACTATCATGTTCTATATACCTCTCACTTAGTGCTGCTGTATGTTCGAACTGCGCTGCTGATGTAAATCTGATGTTTTTGCAATACAATCAATGCAAAAGAATTAAACAAAACTGTGTCTAGAACATTTATTTATGATATTCTTATAGATTGCTCTTAAGATTAATTATACACATGGAAGATACTACACTAAGATTTATCTTCATTGTGTTTTTCATTAGTTTCATTAGAAAATTTGGTGCTTGCTCCGCGCTGAACCAAGTTGGATAAAAATTGGGCGCCAAATGCAAAATTTGTCGGTGAATCCGACAGCGGGTTCCTTATAATTATTCTTTTTTTGGCGTCGACATAATCAACG